TTCTTTGCTGCTCTCTACGAGATCCAATCGGCCACCACACGTTTTTGTGGTCCAAATTTGTATCAGGTTCTTTCGGCTGTCTGTGAAAATGGTTTCAATGGCATGCAAATCACCAAGAAGTCGGGCAAAAAGGATTGTAAGTATTATCGCGCAATTTTTCGAATAAAGTGAAATATAATATTTTATTTTTTTCCAAACAGTAACCAATGATCTGGACCTTTTCAATGAAATCGCCGACGAGAGTCCCTTCAAGTCGGATTCTCTGTTGAATGAAATGTTCTATGGGGATCGTCACAATGCCTTGGCCAAAACCCGCCGACTAAGACATTTGAATGGTGTCTACGATGAGTGCTGCCGCAAGGGTTGTACCATGGATGAGCTATTAAGCTATTGCCTTTAAATCCAACGCTGATATATATAAATTATATGTAGTTAAACAATTTTTAAAATATTAAATGTGCATTTGAATTGATAAATAAAATACATCAATGTTTAAAAAAATTACCTATTATAGAAAAACAAGTAAAAAGGCTGTAACTTCGGCCGGGTCGAATTTTGAATACCCTCCACCATTTTAAACGAATTTGGCAATTCTCTAAAACAATAAAATCCGTTGAAAATTCTGTAGCTGTTATATTACGGTCTATACGAAGACAGGGACCAGCATAGGTAACTTTTGTCACAAGCCATTACAATATTCAAATGCGAAACTTTCAAAAAAATCGGTGAATAATGTAGCTAAAATCATGAAAATACCGAATATCGGGAGGGCTAAACGAAGACGTGAACCTGCACAGACAATTTTCTGTCTTAGGCTGTAGTACCCTTAAGAACTTCAAATACCAAATTTGAAACAATTCCGGTGAATAATGTCGCTAAAATCATTAATGTACCGAATATCGGGAGGAACCGTTATATGGGGACTATACGAAGACGTGGACCTGTACAGTACGGTTATATGGGGGCTATACAAAGACGTGGACCTTTACAGACAATCTTCTGTCATAGGCTGTATCATCCTTTACGAACTTAAAATACCAAATTTGAAACAATTCCGGTGAATAGTGTCGCTAAAATCAACAATGTACCGAATATCGGTATCGCTATAGGGAGGCTACACGAAAACGTGGACCTGCACAGACAATTTTCTGTCTTAGGCTGTAGTATTCATTTCGAACTTCAAATACCAAATTTGAAACAATTCCGGTGTAATAATGTCGCTAAATCATCCAAATACCGAATATCGGGAGGTACCGTCATATGGGGGCTATACGAAGACGTGGACCTATATGGCCCATTTTCAATACCTGCAGACATAATATTTCGTTCGGAAGCTAGACTGATTTCCACAGATCGACAGACGGACGGACATCGCTAAATCGACATACTTTGTGGGGTCTAAAATGAATATTTCGAGGTGTTACAAACAGTATGAAAAACTTAATATACCTTCTATACTCTCTATTGTACTTTTCGTACAATTATACTACGCATGTCCATAACCACTTCCATCACTCAACTACAGCTATCAATTAATTTATTTAATTGCATTTAGTTATTTTTTCGTACAATTATAGGACACATTTCCAAAATAATTGCCAGAATTTAACCTCAGACAGATAGTTCGTATATCCAACAAATGTTCCTTCTCTCAACAACAGATAGCAATAGTAACATCCATTTCCTACAATTATAGAACAACGCCTGCATATCACGATCCCAGATACCAATAGAGACCTCAATAACAAATTTCGGAATTGCCTTCACCCCATACCAAATTTTGTACCACTTAGTACTTTTCGAACAATTTCGAAATGTGTACTATATTTCCTCCACCACCTCCATATCTCCACCACAGACACTAACAGTGACATCTATATTAAATTTCAGGATTTCATCTCCATTCCTTCACCCATTAAAAAACTTAGTACCATTTAGTACTTTTCGTATAATTATAGTAACCATTTCGTTTCGTACGAATAGTACTTTTCGTAAAAATATAGGACAGCCACAAACAGATACCGCAATATCAAATTTCAGGAATTCAGCACTATCCTCTCACTCAATATCAAATTTAGTACCATTTAGTGCTTTTCGTACAAATATAGTACGCATTTCCAATATCAAAGCCTTGAATATCAAATTTGAGGATCCCAGACCTATCCCCTCACCTAACATCAAATTTTGTACTATTTAGTACTTTTCGTACAAATATAGGATATATTTTTAAACCCACCACCATATCTCAATTCCAGTTACAAACAGAGACTTCAATATCAAATTTCAGGATTTCATCTCTATCCTCTCACTCAATATCAAATTCAATACCATTTAGTTCTTTTCGTACGAATATAGCACGCATTTAAAAAACCAACTCCATATTTTAATCCGAGATACCAAAAAAGACTCGAATACAAATTTGAGGATTTCAGCTCTATCCTCGCACTCAATATCAAATTTAGTACCATTTAGTTCTTTTCGTACGAATATAGGACGCATTTCCAAAACCAACTCCATATCTCAATTCCAGATACCAACAGTGACCTCAACATCAAATTTCAGGATTCAGTTTTATCCTTTCACCCAATACCAAATTTTATACCATTTAGTATTTTTCGTACAAATACAGGATGAGATAAGGTGGTATCCTGAGATTTTGTTGGCCATTGTGCGCTGGAAATGAAGCGATGAGCCTCATTTTGTAACGATTCTTGGGTGGCGTCATCGTCATCGGAGAAAACGAAATTCGACAGTTCACCACTTTCGACCAAGCGAAGCAACTCTTTAGCTCTTTTTATACCCTCCACCTTGGAAAGGAGGGTATATTAACTTTGTCATTCCGTTTGTAACATCCCTAAATATTCGTTTTAGACCCCATAAAGTATATATATTCATAATCAGCATAAAATTCTAACTCGATTTAACGATGTCCGTCTGTCTGTCCGTCTGTCTGTCTGTCCGTCTGTCTGTCTGTTGAAATCACGATACAGCCCACATTATTTGACGTAGAGCTCCAAAATTTAGCAGAGCTATTTGCATTGTGTCTAGGATGGTTGGTATTGAAAATGAGATATATCGGTCCACGTTCTGGTATAGTCCCCATATAACGGTACCTCCCGATATTCGGTATTTTGATGATTTATGCCACATTTTTTCACGGATTTGTCTTAAAATTGGTATTTGTAGGTCATAGCGGGTCCCTGAGCGTGTGGCAAAACATTGCATGTATAGGTCCACGTTGTGGTATAGCCCCCATATAAAGGTACCTCCCGATATTTAGTATTTTAGTTTTTTTTTTACCACATTTTTTCAACGATTTGTCTAAAAATTGGTATTTGTGGGTCATAATGGTTTCCAGCTCCGGTGGCGGAACATTGCATGTATGGGTCCATAATTTGGTATAGTCCCCATATAACGGTACCTCCCGATATTCGGTATTTTGATGATTTATGCCACATTTTTTCACAGATTTGTCTTAAAATTGGTATTTGTAGGTCATAGCGGGTCCCTGAGCGTGTGGCAAAACATTGCATGTATAGATCCACGTTGTGGTATAGCCCCCATATAAAGGTACCTCCCGATATTTAGTATTTTAATTTTTTTTTACCACATTTTTTCACGGATTTGTCTGAAAATCGGTATTTGTTGGTCATAATGGGTTCCAGCTCCGGTGGCGAAACATTGTAATTATAGGTCCACGTTTTGGTATAGCCCCCATATAACGGTACCTCCCGATATTCGGTAATTTGATGATTTTTGCCACATTTTTTCAGGGATTTGTTCGAAAATTGGTATTTGTTGGTCATAATTGGTTCCAGCTTCGGTGGCGAAACATTGCATGCATGGGTCCATGATTTGATATAGCCCCCATATAACGGTACCTCCCGATATTCGGTATTTTGATGGTTTTTGCCACATTTTTTCACTGATTTGTCTAAAAATTGGTATTTGTGGGTCATAATGGGTTCCAGCTCCGGTGGCGAAACATTGTAATTATAGGTCCACGTTTTGGTATAGCCCCCATATAACGGTACCTCCCCATAATCGGCATTTTAATGGTTTTTGCCACATTTCTTCTAATGTTTCTTTTACCCTAAGGTGGAGGGTATTAAAAGTTTGGCCCGGCCGAACTTAATGTTTTTTTACTTGTTTCTATTAGTTTCTATTTTCTTTCGATTGCGGTGTAATTTCTTGCACTTTTTGAAATTTTATTGGCATTACCCCGAGCTCATTTTTCAACATTTGCCGAATGAATTATTGCGATATGTTCAGCTCACGAGCCATTTTCGGCCACTGGGACGCTGGTTTCGATCAAGTCGCTTCTTTACTTTTCGAACCATTTCTGCTGATGTTGCCGTTTTCTTCCGTCCACTTCCTTGACGTCGGACTACGCTACCAGTATTACGGTTACTAGCGGGGGTACGAGACACAAAAGATTTATTCACATTTAAATGCTGGAGTGCTCTAACGATAGCTACTTGAGGTTTTCCAGCCAAATATAAAGAAATCACACTATCACGCTTGAATTCCATCACGAATAACTTTTTTTTCTGGAAAATTCTCATCAAAATGCTTTTATACGCTTGTTAACAATATAATTAGCTGTCACTGGAACAATTTAAACAGCTGTCGGACGAGTGGCTAAGAAATCACAGCAATCTGAAGTTGGTTGCAGTTCTTTCAACTCACCCTGTATATTCCTGGGATTTGGGTAAAATTTAGAGTGTTGACGCCTTCTAGCTATCTACAGTAGAATTTTATGAGAAATAGTTCAGTAGAATATTTTGGTTTGTTACGATTCCGATTAAAGGAAGTTTCTAACCATTTAAAAAAGATTAATAAGCAGGGCTAAAACTTTCGACCAAAACATTCCTCGTATTTTTATCTGTAATATTGCCGAAAACCCTATAAATTTGAAATGCACGGATTCCGAAGAATCTTAATCCGAACATTCCCAAAACTATTCTACTTTCATAGTGTTATTGACCAGCAGTGTTATTGACCAAAATAATCGTTGTCCAGTTATCAGTAATATTGCCGAGGAAACTATATACCAAAAAGGCAAGTATTCCAAGAAATCTTAATTCGAACATTTCAAAAAATGTTGTTGAAGGGGGGGGGGGTTCCCTCTCCATTTAGGTTACTTTGTGATGTAAACTTTCCATTATTCAAGCCATTCGGCACCCAAATCTTCGCTGGGTTAGTGAATTTCCATATTTGAATAAATACTTGCACATACACCATTGAAAAATCTCCTATTTCGTTACACTCCAATAACGATTTTTGAAATAACCTATCAACAATTTTTGTAAAATATGAAACAATAAAACGCAACATACAATGTGCGTACAAGTATATTTGGTTTCAAAAATAAGAAAAAAAAGCGAAAAACACAAGAACGCCAACAACAAAAATTATGTGACCATAAAAAATTAATAATCGACACAGAATTTCACTTTTGGTCGGATCAAAAAAAAAAAAAAAAAAAAAAAAACTCAACG